AACTATAAAAGAAACACTCTCAAAAATTTTAAAAATTGAAAAAACAAACACCCTAAACTTTTATAATTTACAAATACACAAAACTATTAAAAATTACATTAAAATCATGAAACTACAAAAAATTATTGAAAATTTTCAAACTTTGGAGGGGTAATTTGCAATGTACTAAACTTTAAGTTTTTTTTTGTAAATTTCAAATTTAATAGATTTTCAATTAGTTATGTTCTTTCTAAAAAAGTTATGGGTAATATCAATCATGAAAAGTTTTTTCTAAACCTATATTTTTAAAGGGATATGATATTTTTTGTAATTTTTTTATTTTCTAAGGGTTGCTAGTAATTTTGTATATTCATTTTAGTGCCTATAGGTTAGAAATTCTCATGGTTTTTTTTTGTAAATTAGGAATATTAAGGGTTTTTTGTAATTTTTTAAACTAATAGGTATTTTCTACATATTATAAATTGTTTATAGACTATTTATAATTCCTATATTTTCAATTTACTAATGAGTTTGAAATTCTCAGGGTGTTTTTTATAAATTTTAAATTTTAGTGTTTTTTGTAATTTTTGAAACTTTAAGGGTGTTTTCTATAAATTATAAATTATGCAGGGAATATTTATAATTCCTATATTTTTCAATGTACTGTTAGGTTGAAAATTATTAGGATTTTTATAAATTTTACAATCTTGAGGGTTTTATCTTGTAATTTATAAAAAGCTTAGAGTGTTTATTGTAAATTTTATAAATTTTTAGGGGTTATTTCTGTTATTTGTAGGTTTTTAATGTGTTTATAGGTTTAAAAATTTCAAGGTGTTCTTTACAAATTTTAAATTTTTAGGAGTGTTTTTGCATTTTTTTAGAACTTACAAGATACTTTCTCCAATGTTAAAAACTTGTATTTTTAGCTAGCATATATTTTTTAGATTTCTCACTGAATTGAAATAAATAAAATTTATATTTTCAAGATGTTTTAATAAAATTTTAAATTTGTAGGGGTGTTCTTGTAATTTTAAAAACTTGGAGGATATTTTTTACAAGGTCCAAAAACTTTTAGGTATTGGCTAACATATATATTTTTAGATTTCTCTGCAAAATAAAATAAGTAATAAATTTAAATTATATCAAATGTATCTTATTTATCCAATAACATGTTAAGCCTCATTATGTATAAAATAAATTATTTAATTATAAATCCAAAGAAAATAAGAAAATTAGAATAGATTAGGATAACACTATAATATTTAAAAAGTTAAGGGTAATATTGACCATGAAAAGATTTTCTCCAACTCGTACTTTTAAAAGGAGTATATGATATGATATGATTATCAAAAATATATATAAAATATTACACCAGATTGAATTTTTAGCCTTTGATATCTCAGAAACACCAGTGTTCAACGTGTAAAAGAGTTGCGGAATCAATTAAGGTCAATCTCTATACATCATGTATGTTCAAGTCTTATTCTTTAGGGTGTGTTTGGATTTCAATGGGGTTAAGGGAAGTTAAGGGAAACTAGGTGAGAAAATGGAAGAGAAGGGAAGGGAGTTCCCTTCCCCTTAGTTACACCCCAATTTGAGGGGTAACAAATTTTATACTATTAGGGGGTGAACCAAGGGAACTAGGGTGAATAACTTCACCTCCTAAATGTTCCCAAACAAGGTGGATGGTTCCCCTAACTTTCCTTCACCCTTATTCCTCTCAATCCAAACAATCCCTTAATTAATCTCTGTACATCATACATGTCTAATGCAATTTTCTTGGAAATCTTATACTGATTGGTGGGTAAATAAAAGGAAAATGTCGTGTATATCACCCTCAAATCAAACGCACTTGCAAAGCTATTCTCCAATCTCAATTATTTGCAAAACTACACGAAATTAATAAATAATTTATTTTGATAGACTAATATGTAAATGTGACTTGATCACATTGACCCAAAATAAGGACAAATTTTCAAAACATTCCTTTTTACAAAAACATTCCCAAAAAACAACATATTTCAACATTATTTGTCAAAACCGACCTAGTTTCAGCCGTCGGGCTGAAATTAGGTCAAAACGGCTGAAACTAGGTCGGTTTTGACGAAAGAAGTTCCCAAACTTCACGGGACTTCAAATCACATGAAGTTTAACACCCATTTAACTAAGCTGCTAAACTTCACGGGACTTCAAATCCCGTGAAGTTCGTTTTCAGCTTAGAAACTGCATGGGACTTGAAGTCTTGTGATGTTTTAGGTGGATTTTCCAGAGAAACTACTCTCTGGAAAATGCGGCCTGCAACTCCACGGGACTTCAAGTCCTGTGGAGTTTCGTTCTACCTATATAAGGCAGACGCGATCACTCCCGTGACCACGCCCTCATATCCCACACGTCGACGCTCCTCACCCAAACCCTAGCTGTTCTCCTGAACCCGTCCCTTACCCTCGCCCCTCACCGGTGCCGCCACCACCGACGCCGGACTTACCGCCGGCCCCACCGTACATCACCACCATCATCACCGTCGGAGTTCACCGGAAATTAGGGAATCGTCAATATTAAGGTAAAATCTTTTAAAAAAATTAATCCTAATTTTTTTGTATATTCTCACAATTTCTTGGTGATTACTTGTAAAAAATTAGATTCTGAAATAAATTTGGAATTATTTATGAATTTTGTGAAGAAAAATTAAATTATATTGTGTATGAAGTTAGAGGGGAAATTATCAAAATTTGTAACCGTGAAGTTACTACAAATGTTTGACATTTGGTTAAAATTATAGGTTTCAAAAATCGATCTAAGAGATTTAATGTTAAGTAACATTTTCTTAAGTTTTTCGTGTAATATTGATATTGAATTTTTTACTCTTCAGATGTAATAATAAACGATCGAATTGTAATTCTTTGTTCATATGATGGGAAGATTAATTATATCAAAAATAATATGCTCGTTTATGAAGGATGTGTGACGAAGCAGTTGTTTATATCAAAATCGTGTACTTTCGATGAATTGGTTAATGACTTACACAAACTTACATTAACCAACTCATGTGAGTATCACCTTAATGTTATTTGTAATTATCCTATTGTGGAGAACAGAACAAGCGGCATTCAAATCTCAAGTGACTATGATATGGGTCTCATTGGAGTATTACATGACGAGAAGCGTTCGGTGGAATTATTTATTGAAAAACATCAGATATTATTTGCTAAATTGTGAAGAGCCGGAGTTCCTTTGATATGTTGGGAGATTGTGGAGATGCATGTCCCCGACCGTGTGTTACGGCAATTTCTGCGCTCTCAGCATGTGTCGGATCCCGTCGAACAAATCGATCGTAGGCGACGACCTACATCGCATCATAAGGACTGGGGCGTATTCCTTGCAGCCTACATAGACATGTAGATTAATAGGTGGAATTTCATACAAGATGAGAGAGATACATTTGTTAATTATACCACGTATATGCGTTAGGATATCATGCGTAGATGGATCACACGCGACCTACAGCCATCAGCTGGATACCTGCCATGCCCACCGACAGATAGTTACACCCCTAGTTCCATGCTCGAGAGAGATTACATAAGTTTCTAAGCTAAATTAAAACCGCAATTTTTTTATTAAGATATTATTTGCTAAATTGTGTATATATTTATTAACTCGCAGATCAAAGCTTTTGATGACATTGAAGCTGATATAGATGAGCACATCAGTGACATCCAGGATCCGACGACCGTAGGGCTCTTATCCAGGATCAAACAGAGAATAGCAAGCGTGTTTCATAAGACTCATGTCGACGAGTTTGCATGCCGTGAGGACAGGTCTCGATCGTTTGGGCAAATGTACAAGCGACGACGTAGGTTAGGTGGCGATGGAGCCGACACTTCTCATAGCACGGCACATGCTGATGGAGCTGGTACTTCTCAGACTCATACACTACCAGATACTCAGATCATCGAGGCTCAACAGGAACGTAGGGGGCGGGGAAGGAGGGGAAGAGCCAGGGGAAGGGGAAAGAGAGGGAGAGGAAGGAGAGGAGGAATTTTGGGTTGCATGTGATTTTATTTTGTTGAAATTTGTTACTTTTATGATTTTCCAAAAAAATATACTTTTGTGGAGGATTAAGTTCATATATAGGTTTTTCGTGTGAGTATTGTTTGATTCGTGTTTGATTCATGGCTGAATTTTAAGAATATTGTTGTAATTCAGTATATATGTGATCGATTGTTGTTCACAGGTGTATTTTCGTGAATATTATTTGATTCACGACTGAAACTTCGTGAGTATTATTTGATTCATAGGTGTATCGTCGTGTATATAAATAACATGCACATCCTGTATATAAAAAACATGCACAGCAAGCTGTGCATGTTTTTTAAAACTTGCAACTTCACGGGACTTGAAGTCCCATGAAGTTGTAGGCTGAAGTTCCAAAAGCTAAAATTTCAGCTCAAACTTCACAAGACTTCAAGTCTAGTGAAGTTTTTTGCTTCTAAAAAACTTCACGGGACTTGAAGTCCCGTGAAGTTACGCAGCTTAATTAAATGACTGCTAAACTTCACGAGACTTCAAGTCCCGTGAAGTTTCAAAGTTTTTTTTTTTTTTGCCAAAACCAACCCAGTTTTAGCCAGAGGGCTGAAACGGATCTGTTTTGATAATTATTTATAGAATGGATCGTTTTTTTAATATTTTTGTAAATGAGACTGTTTTTAAAATTTGACCCCCAAAATAAAGGACAAATTTTCAAAACCAACCGTTTTAAACATTTAATTGCAAAAAACGACCGTTTTCGATAATAATTGTAATTATTTTCAAAATAGGTCGTTTTTTGCAAATAAAATGCTAAAAGGGTTGGTTTTGAAAATTTGTCCCCAAAATAAAACCTCAGACCAAACAACAGAGGGCCCACTGCGCCACACTTCTGTCGCGGTTCCCACGTGTAGGTGACCGGTTCGTTCAGTTTCCTAACACGTGACACTGAGAGAATATACATACTAGATAAATACCGAACTTTAGGAGTAAAAAGTAAAAAAATTGGAATTAGCAAAAGACTGCATCGAGTCCGCGTGAGTGGGCGCGAGAGAAATAATGGCGGAAGCTTTCAAACTAGGGTTTGTGGGAGCGGGGAACATGGCGGAGAGCATCGCCCGCGGCGTCGCCAAGTCCGGCGTCCTCCCTCCGGCGAGCATCCGCACCTCCCACCGCCGCTCCGATCGCCGTGACGCCTTCCGATCTTTCGGCGTCGAGATCGTTGAGACCAATTCGCAGGTTTGATCACATTATTTCTTTTAGAAAGGCGATTCTTTTTTTTTTCTATTACTGGATTTATGATTTAGATGTCGATGCTGAAATCTAGAATTTGATGATATTTTGAAATTTAGCTTTTAGTGGATTTGTTCGATGCGGTATGTTCATGTGCTGGCCCTGCACATATCTAAGAAAAAAGTGATTTTTTTAAACTCTTTTTCTTATGTAAATTTATGATTTAGACTTTGGAAAGCTCAGATATGGACTTTGATAATATTTAAAAATTTATATGCAGGATTTTCATCCAAATCTAATCTAATATTTAAAAAAGTAATCACGGGTGTGGTGATTGCGTGAACTTTATGTAGTTTTTTTTCAAGGAAAGAAACTTTAATAATCTTTGATTTCAGTTGAATTCTGAATAGATTCAGGGTGACTTGTGACTTGTTCGTTAGTTGGTTAACATGATTTCTGGGTTAAAAAGTAATTGCTCTTTGGTGAAAGTCTTGATCATGTTCAAAGTTTGATGGACAAAATTCGCAGGATTATGCATTTTAATAAATTTTGGAGGGTCTGTCGAAAATTTCTTCCAGTACTTCTGCTGTCAACTGGAGAATCCTGAATTTATTCAGGATCCCGATAGATTTTCGAATTAATAATCAAAGGGGGCACTGTGATGCGCAAGACTAGTTTCACACTTTGTACAAGCTTAGAAAAGGTGCTTTAGCAAGTATCAGTTCTGGCCTTTGGGGTTTGGAATGGTTAATGTAGGCACATGGGCTTGAGCTTTTTGGATATTAGAACAAAGCATGCTTGCTTTCAACTCTTAGGGGTTGATTTTTGTAAGAGAGACCCTCTCTCTTTTCTTAGTTCATTAACATCGGAACTGTCTCTCTTTCTTGAGGCTGTTGGTTTGGATCTTCTTGGCACAACATCTACTTATCTGCTCCACTATGGATTGGTTGTGTGTGTGTGTATATACTTAAATGCGAATCAGTAAACTGTATAGAATATGTTGTTAATTGGTTAAATTCTTTACTATCAAAGGGCTATGAGAGAGAAAATTCCTTGGTATTGCATACATTTTGTGAATGCATCCACACACAGCACACATGCAACAAAAAACACACAACCATAGATTCTCATTACCTAACTTTACCACTTGAGGACGTTTTTATTGATGTTAGATATTAGGACTCTAACGTTTCCAATTGATAACTTGGCTTTTACGTACACTACAGTTTAACTAGTAATCGTGATAGGCAGTTTTGATCAAGTAAGCACTAAACTAACCAGATTCTTTAAGTGAAAGATAAGCTTAAGTTCCTAGAGGATCCTAATTGTCGCAGAACATCTACTGAAAAGAATCTTGAAGATGCTTCTTTGATCTGGCTTTTGCATGGCTACTTTGATCTTTCTTTTGGCATTGAAACCAAAAGTTTCGGTGGCTTTATATGCTAGTAGCTTTTTGTTGATGGTGTTGAACTTCAATTTATATAGTTGCTATGTCATTCTTTCTCCATTATTCAATTCAATATTTCTTTTTCCCCTACTTTTGCTACTTAGCTTTTTGTTGTATAGTTTGTAAGCTTGTTAATGACTATGTTATTTACACAATCCGGTTGATGCGATTCCTTTAGAAATACTTAACATGATAAAATCCAAATTTATTTAGTTAGTGATTGTTGTGTACCCGTGCCATGACAGCATATTGTTCTAGATAAAAATTGTAACCTTTATCACTCAATAACCTAATAATTAGTTTAAAGCTTCACATGTTCATTATTATTTTGAACTTTTCTTTGCTTTTTGACCTATACCTTTGCTTCTTGCTAGCCTTTCAATTTCACTTTGTTTGTGTTTGGGTGTTCTTCTACTAGGAAATTAGTTTTTATTGGTATCAGCAAAATTTAGATGGAAAATACTTCAGTATGTTCTCTGAGTTCAGTTTTAATATTTGGCCATATTCCACTGAATTTGACACTTTTCCATGTATATAGGTAGTTGACCGCAGCGATATAATTATTCTCTCCGTGAAGCCTCAAATGGGTATGCTCTTATTGTATAGTCTTAAAAGTAGAGATTTGATTTCTCAAGAAAAGTTTTCATATTATATTATGCTATTTAAGATCATGTATGTGTTGGTGATTGACTTATCATTTACTTTGGAGGTGCATTATATGTACTATACCATTCTGAGGAAGATATTTATGAAATGCTCTTTGCATGGAGCAGTCAAGTTTTATCGTTGATTTATTGATCAGACTATGTTAACATGAAATTTTATAGCTGTCATGTTGCAGCTGGTTTTGCGACCTGTCATGCCAAGCAGAGCTTTAGGACAGATTACTCAATGAGCTGTTGAAAAATGATTACTCACTGAACATAAAATGCTCGAGCATGTGATCAATGTTAAATGCTTGCAAATTTGGGATCCTGTTAAATGCTTGCAAATTTGGGATCCTGTTAAATGCTAAGATCAGATGCCTTAGGCACGCTTGGGACAAGCTTTTGGATCTTTACATGCATTATACAGTGTATAACCTCATATTTGCATTTTAATGAGTAATACACAAAATTTGTATCTGCTAACAGCTAGTTTTTCTTGTCATTGATATGATTCTCATTCGTTGGGCCCTACTTTGCAGTAAAAAGTGTGCTGTTGGAGCTGAAGCCCTCCTTCTCAGAGGAGAAAGTTCTGGTGTCAGTTGCTGCAGGAATCAAATTAAAAGAGTTGCAGGTATTCATGGGAACTTTCTCTCCTATGAATTGTTCTCTGTCTGGTTTCAAAGTTAATCAGCTACTCTTCTCTTTACATTTTAGTTTTTGTGCACATCTTTCTAGAAATTCTAGTAATTTAATACCATAAATGTAGAGAACAGATACTATTTAAGAATAACCAAGTTACAAAGAACTACCATGCTATAAATTTTATGCGAAAATTCAATTTTGCTATGACGGAGTTCTATAGCACAAACCTTATCACAGGGTTTGCTGATCATAATTTATAGTGCTAGGCCAATATTTAGAATTCTATTTTGTGACTAATCATGTGCCAAGTTAATGTATTTCCTAGACAGAGGTTTCATAACTCATATATTGCCTTGGTTTTCAGTGTCTCCAAGCTGAAATTAAAAATCAGAAGTATTCTTTAATTATGTACATTCAAAGAGAGCTCTTTAATAGTTGGATTCTTATCTAGCAATAATAGAGTCATTTTTATGCACAATTTACCAACAAGCTTTTGCTCAAGGAGTTCCACCACTCCCTTTCAAAGTGAGAGATTAGTTGTCAAAATCTCCCCATTTGCAGTAATTGCAGAACGTGGGTCCTGCTACAGTTTTGTAATGGCATTAGCAGATGGTGGTACATGATGGCCCTTGATGCTTTATGTGATGTTATGTTTTCTCTCTCTTCATAGCTTACCCTCCTCTTTGATGCAAGCCCAGTTTGGGCAATCCTGGGGCAAAAAAAAAAAAGAAAAGAGGAAAGAAAACAAAAGAAAGAAAAAATAAAACCGAAAAGTAAATCAATAACTAAAAAAAGTTAAACTATCCTATGAGAATTATGATCTCGATAAAAAGAGTGAATTTCTGTACCAATAGAAATGCAAGAGAATACTACATTAAGCTTTGATTGCACAAATACGTCGAAGAGTTTCTTAAATCTTAAATTTATGGTTCTTAGGCCTTCTAGATAGAAAGATTATTTTACAGGTTTATGTGTAAATTCCCTTAACTACTACCCAAGGTAGACATGGTTCACAAACCAAAAGTAATTTACATAACGTAATGAATTACATATAAGGATTAGTTTCCTATTGAGAGAATTAATGCATGAAATTCTTAGCCCCAAATGACCTTGTGCTGTTCTGTCTGTTCCTAACAGTTCAAATGATTTCGAAATAATTATTTAAGAATGAAGAACTTATAATTATACCGAGCAATTGAATTGTATTTACTAGACTTTTTGGATTGTCATATATAATAACCACAAAACCTGTACATCAATGTCCATAGAAAGTTGTATTCTATCAAGTATCGCTTCACTCATTTTAAGGTGTTAATGATGATGTGTGATACCGGTGCTGTAGGAATGGTCTGGTCATCGACGAGTGATCAGGGTCATGCCAAATACTCCTTCAGCTGTTGGTCAGGCAGCATCAGGTAAGTTTTCATTAAGTCTTCTTCTCTAGCACTATGCCAACATTTTCGTGTATCTAAGTCATAAACAGTGATCAAGACATTCATGAGGATAAGCTAAATTTTTGTGATACTCTCCTGATGATTGTTACACACACAAGGACTGACACTTCGGTTGCTTGAAAAAAATTATATCATTTTGTTTACACCAAAGTTTCAATATAGGAGGTCAATGTCATTATTAAATTTTCATGTAAATAGTTGTATTTAGTTTTGGAGAACAACTCCTTATTAAACTACCTCTCTTTAACATTCAAATGTATATGATTATGTGGCCTTTGAGCTGTCATCCGGCCTATCTTAGCTCCCAGCTCCTGAGCATAGGCTTGGAAAAGAGACATGCTTACAGTTTTATTTTTATTTTTATTTGGTAAGTTTGAACTATCCAATGAGAACAGTTACCACCACTGGATTTATAACATTGTTTACATTTTCTATTTCATCATGCATTTTCTTAAGTTATTTTAGCATTTCTATGTTATTGTGTAGATTCATAGCTTACATTTCCTTATGAAAAACTAGCCAAACAAGCATCACATCGGGTTTTTCCTTTCTTTCTTATTACAATGTTCTAAAATGCAAATTAAGCGGCCGCTTAAGAAGCCTCTTATACCTAACAAGGTTGAAACCATTCCGATCAGGGAAAAAGCACTCCATTATGCGGCCATCCCCATAATCGGGCACATTTTCAGTAAGCGCCTAAATAAGTCTTTTTATAGGTGCTTTTCTTTCAAATCCTTTATGGGTTAAACATGTTTACTGCAACCTGATCCGGCTACTAAAGTAAAGGAAACCCAAGCTCTAAAGTTCTCCCAAAGTTTCTCTACTCTCTGCGTTCTCTATTTTACGAACCTGCTGGCTGCTACAAATATCTCTAGCCTTCGTTGACGCTTGCTCAACCTCAAACAGCTTGTGGAAACTAACTAGAAGATCGTACGACCTTCGACGCTCTCCCTTCAACCTCTCTCTATAATGATTACCTCAAAGCCCTTCATTATTCCTTTTGAAGCTCTTGAAACAGATTAGTCGAAGCGTTTTTCTGTTTTTCATGAATTTTATATATCTTAACATATGATAAATAATCAATATGTATTAAAATTCAAAAATGCATAATTTTGCATAATCCGATTATTCGGTGTATGATCTGATTAATCATTACACGCTCCCAGACTGCACATATACTAAAATCGTGTTTTTGAACATTGCTTATTGCACATTTCTGAAGTTGCTGCAGCACTTAGCCACTTACGTCTTATGAATTCATAAACTTCAACCTACACTAGGTTTTAAATTTCAGTGCCCAGGTTAACAACAGTCTTTCTAGTGTATTTATTCTCTTAAATCTTTATAAGACCAAAATACAGAAACATTGAATTTTTTTCAACTTCTGATATTCTTGCATTTCATTTATTAGTTATGTGCATGGCTGAGATGGCAACAAAGAAAGATGAAGAACGTGTATCTAGTTTGTTTGGTGCAATTGGAAAGATATGGACAGCTGACGAAAAGTATTTTGATGCTGTGACTGGTCTGAGGTATGCTAATGATTGGTTCTTTGAGATCAAACAATTGAAAATCAAATTTGTACTACAAGCTAGTAGGCTTTACTTTCTAGTTTTTTCAGTTCCTGTTTCATATGTGAGAATACCATTTTGTCAACTTTCTGCCTTTATTTCTCAGTGGAAGTGGCCCAGCATACATATTTTTAACAATTGAAGCACTGGCTGATGGTGGCGTGGCTGCTGGTCTTCCGCGCGATCTTGCTCTTGGCCTGGCATCTCAGACTGTAAGCTACAGTGTACCATTTACAGTCATTATAAGCCTCGTATAAACATTTAGCAACTAAATTTAGAAGTTTTTGTAGTATAGCCTGTATAGGTGTTGCACATTGAAAACTATAGTTTCACTTTTGATAACATTTACAGCCTATGAGGACATCTATACTAGAGATGGAAAATCAGTTAACGCTTTGTTGGATTACGTAAATTACAGTTCAATGTAAAACAATTTCACTTGTTACCAGTGTTTTAAAAGCAAAAGGCCAGGTCAAGTCAATGAGGTCCTATGTTGCATGACGTGAGAGGCGCCAAAAAAGGCGATCGCCTGAGTGAACCAAGGCGATAAATATTCAAAAAATTCACAAACATTGCAAATAATATGCAAATATCAATAGATAGCACCAAGACAAATTAATCACAACCCAATTTCCAAAGTCACAAATTTAATAAGTCTTAAACCATCTAAATGAAGTAATAAGTAACAAATATTGAATAGTAATATTAACTAGTGACTTCTAACATAGATAATTAAGCAACAAACTTTGAACATTAAGGTTCAAATTATCACATGTCCTCAAAATGATATAGATATAGATAATAAAGTACATTTCAACAAAAAACAGCAAAAAATCGTTAATGAAAAAAGAAACACAAAAATTTAGTAACAAGAACAAACTTTACTTTATCGGACACCTTACGGACCCGCAAATTTTTGAAACAAAGACGAGCACATTGTGCCTTGCATCACATGCCTTAGGCGAGCACCTGAGGCGCCAAGGCAAGGTCACGAGGTGCCAAGGGGAGCTATTGAGGTGCCAAAAGACGATCGCCTTAGTAACCTTCATCACCTAGCAATACGCAAGACTCTTAAGTTACAAGATTGCCTCGCCTGAGCACCTGAGGCACTAAGGCGCATCACCTTTAAAACATTGCTTGTTACACATAAAGCCAAATGATGTTGACAAAATGATGTTTTGAATCCTTGAAGTGGTTCAAAAATTTTATTGCAGCCATTCTTCTCAAGCAATGGCAGAAAGTTGTTAGGGACATTTCAAGTCATTGACAAACGAAAGGAGATTCCACGAGGGCTTATGTATCCAGTAACAAGGAATCAAAGGGAGATGAAAGAATGAATCTGATAAAGATGATCTATGGAATAGAAAACACAAATAAATATGTAAGCTACATGGTTTGGCTTATAAAACATGTCCTAGGAATGCGTATTTTATTTCACAATAAAGAGGTTTACTGGCTGGTCTGTTAATGCCCCCCCCCCCCCCCCCCCAACGGCGGCAAAACCAAAACGGATAAAAAGAAGAAAAAAACATTGTATTCTCCTGAAAACCAACTAGCGTTCGGAGTTGATTAAACTTAGGTAGGCTTTCTCTGATTATGATGAATGAGCGATCATATATTATTTAAGAAATGGAAGTACTCTTGAAAAGGTTCAAACAAACTACCCTAGGCTTTTACAACTGGCTCAGACTGCCTACTTTGGCAACAATATTTGTTCTCTTTCTAATCACATGAGACTGCAAGTTATTTATTTATGTATTTTTTATTTTTTATTTTACTTTTTGTCGGGTATTGACTCACTGTCCTGGGAAAGAATGCTTCTAGACCGTCAAACCGTTCTACTAAAATCGAAATTTTCAACGTAGAAATGAACTGTGTAAATGCAGTAATGTTGAGGAATAGTAGATTACAGCTTAGAAATATACGTAGATAGAAAATATCCTTTCCTTAAATATACACCTATTGTAGTCATAGCAATATCTTTTTTGTTTTAATGGATAGAGTTCATTTCCCAATAGTATTGACTCTGCCATAATTATCATTATGCTAACTGAAAACTGTTGGAACACAAACTTGAAGTTACGTGCTACATTTGTTACTTTTGATCTCTTTTAGCTCTATATCAAGTGACCTTTAAAAGAGGAGATCCAAGAACATATATGTTTGTTTGTTTGTTTTAATTGAGGAGAATTTTTTCATTCTCTCCATGCCACCTTTTACTTTGAACATCGTTTTTTTCACTTCAAAGATGACTCTTTATAAGCCTTTTACAAACATTTAGCAATTAAATTAAAAGTATCTGTGGTGCAGGTGATGCACATTGAAAGTTATATTTTCACTTTTGACAACATTTATAGCCTATGAGGACATCGACACGCTAATACTCTTCCAGATTACGTAGAAGCAGAGTGTGACATCAAATAATTTCACATATTAGACATAACTAGAAAGAGGTTTGACAAAATGGCATTTGGAATCCTGGAAGCGGTTCAAATATTTTATGTGGTCATTCTCCTCAAACAAAGGTAGAAAGTTGTTGGCATTCCGAGTCATTGACAAACAAGATGAGATTCAACGAGGGCTCATGTCTCCAGTCAAGAGGAATCAAGGGGAGATGAACGAATGAATCAGATCAAGATGATTTATGGAATAAATTTAGTGGATAAATATGTAAGCTACATGGTTTGGCTTATAAAAATACGTACTCTATTTCCCGATAAAGGAACTACTAGTTGGTCCTTTAATGCAGAGAATGCCCAATGTAGAAATGAACTGTGTAAATGCAGCAATGTTGAGGAATATTGTATGTTACATCCTAGAATTATATTCAGATAGGGAGGGTAAAAATCCTTTTCTTAAATAAACACATATTGTAGCTCTGCCAAAGTCTTTATTATTATTATATATATTGATGGGATTGAGCTCATTTTCCTATGCTTTGTATTTTCTTATGTAAATGCCATAATTATCGTTATGCTAAAGACTATCACTTTTGTATTTTTATTAATTCTCTCTTTTTACCTCCATATTGATGACCGTTAAAGTTTCCAAGGACACATTTATACCTTCTTATTGAAGAGAATTTCTGGATTTTCTTCATGCCACCTTTTTGTACTTTGAATACAGTTTTCATTTGAAAGATAAATCTTTTTTTTTTTGTAAACAAATCCTGATGAACCATTTTTCTCTGCAGGTTTTAGGAGCTGCTACCATGGTTACAAATACAGGAAAGCACCCTGGTCAGCTGAAAGATGCAGTTACGTCTCCAGCAGGGACTACCATCGCAGGGGTCCACGAGTTGGAAAAGGGTGCATATCGTGGAACTCTGATCAATGCTGTTGTTGCTGCCTCAAAAAGATCCCGAGAATTATCACAAACATAGTTCCGTGCAATTTATTTACCCATGTACCCACTGTTTAATTGCTAGAGGTTTATTTCAATAAGTCGGATTGAGAGCTCCTTAATGAAACTATTTGAGTAGTATATTATGCTAGTAAGGAAATATTGTCTTTTGAGGCATAGCAAAGTTCATTTTGTCGCAAATAATATCTACACAGTAGTACAACTCATTCATCTCCTTTTCTATTCACCTCACGGGTGTTTGTATGTGCAAATATATGCGTTCATTGTGTATGCAGTATGCTGGTTGATGGGTGGGGGGTGTCAATGGATTAATTTGAGATAAGTTGGCCCCGTTTGATTTCATTCTGCTTTTTGTTTTTTTTTATAAGCTACGACCACACTGTTTCATAACTTCATTATTCTATCATGTTCTTTCCGGCAAAAACTTCATTTTAGTCTTATTTCCTCAAATCCTCCACATCCTACAGCAAATTTATATAGAATAGACGAAATGCATGACATTTGCGCACGTCTATCTTCATGAATAACTCAAAAGAGAGATGAAACGATAAGCCTGCTGAGTCCTGAATGCTATGACTAAAGTAGAGGCCTCAAATGTTGCACAAAAAAGTTGTGCAAAAAGTTGTGTCAAATCTAATCCATCATGAAACACTATGTTTCTTCAAGCTTGGAATTTCCACTATAAACGGCTAAAGAAAAGATCAAATGTGTTCTAGAAACGAAAAGAAAAGAAACAATACAGCATAAGCGTAGCACAACAACAAATTCAAAATATTTAACAAATCTCAGATATATATGAGAAGAAAATCAGATTATCTTGCCTTCCATCTTGACGGAGGGGTCATTCTCAACATTATCAAGCATAAACAGTGGTTGATACACACAGAACAGGTATCACACATGAAGATACCATACGTGAAATGAAGCCCCTGATTACATGCATGGTAATATTACGCCAATATTAGACTTCCAGTACTACGATAACCGATATATAAATGCAGTTTCAAGGTAAGCTTCACTTGTGATCATAGAATATGCTATATTTTATTGGTTACATGGTGATCTCTTGTGCATCATAATGTCACATGTATTCTCGAGTAGATGCAGCCCATTTATCTTCATACCTTCCAAATGAGTAATCTACAGCCGAAACCCCAGTGAGGCGTAGCGGATCTGGCTCTATTCCATAATCTGTTAGTGGTCTTTCTTCAAGAACCTGGTCGTGACGCTGGATAAACTCTGGGATCTCGACTTCTCCTTTCTTGATGTCATCCGACAGATATTGTAGCCGGCTAATGTACTTGATCTTCCAATATAAACTATAATAATGCCAACAGAGTAAGATTACAAATGTTAAATATTTGTAGCTAGGTAAGCTAGCAGATGATAGATCTAGGTATTGTGGATAATAGTTGGAGGAAATATTTCAGTGTTCCACCAGGCATCTGGTTTGCTAAGAAATTATTTCTCATTGTATGGATAAAGTTTCCATAACAACCACAATGAAAAAAAACATTAAATGCTTATAGAAGTATTGGTATAGAAACATCTGTATTGCACCTCTGCATCTTCAGCGACAATAGTCTTTATCTCTCGTTGACCAACTGCATTTGACTACAGTCATCAAAGCATACCCATATAATGAGCAATCCTATTTCCCACAAATTACTGAATATAAAGATGAATTCCATTTTGCCTCTAAACATAATAAAATCATCGCCAAAGTATTATCTTTTTCCTACCTCTCCAGGGGTTTTTAATCAGTTTAAAAAATTAGCAAGGATGTGACAATGACATATTTAATATGAGCAAGAGTTTATTTAGTTCTCTTACAGTATAAATTTTCGGCTCATAAGCAAGAGTTCTTGAACAAGAGAGTGGTATTGTATATTGAGTTAGTGCAGTGTGGATGATTGCTTATTACACATTTGCATTAAAATTTTAAGAAGATTCTGATTTTATATATCTGACATGAAACTAAATGGATGGTGTATAACCACGTCATTACGTCAAAACTGCAGCAAGGAAGTAGATCCAACATTGTAACATTTATCATGAAAATCAGCTTCCAAAACCTATGACAAATGGATAAGCAAACAAAAATGGAGGAGATAAAATATGGTATTGACCCCAATTACTGGACTGTGTACAGACCAACTAGCTTCAGCTTTTCTATTAACTTACAACGAATATACCAATGAAAAAACAAAGTATACAGTGATGGTTTCTGCATATCTAGGATGCCAAACCTTTTTTTCTTGTTAGAAACAATACAAAACTAAACAATAGGTACTGTTTATTTCCCTATTTATGTCTTGAAGTACAATGAAAGTGTGAAACGAATAAATACTCTATAACTATGAGAACTACTTCTTGTCTAGTTGTTATTCTGTAATCCAAGTGGCATAGAAACATGATCATACGTATACATTAAATGTATCAAAGTAGTTCAATACATTTAGATACGCTTATGCAGAACTTAGTACTCTAAATACGAGAAGCATACAGTCAATGAACATAGAAATGCTGCCACAATCACATGATTAGCACAGTATCACTGAACAAGAAATGTATAAACTATATCATGATTATGGCCATTCAAATAGATTGTCATTGTCAAGCATCTGATGACAACAAGTTTACACAGCTCGGTAGAAGCTCTCTCATTATGCAATGAGAAATATATACCAACAAACCACTAATAGAGACGTGAATTTCAGGTGTATAATAGTTGCTTACCATTTCAAATTACCGATTATATATTTAGGAACATAGCTTTTCTGAACTGCTAATGATATCAATGAAGTAATACTAACCTTCCACTTAGGAAGAGACGGCCAAGTGTTGCAACAGCCAGCCTCGATCGAAGCCCAGGGTGCAAAAAGTAGACAACTTGGAGCCTTTCCTTGTATTCAGATGGGAGTTCTTCATATATCCACCTCAGGATGGACATCCCAGGGTTGTTGTCCTCTGAATTTACTGTACTATGCATGTACAGAATGCAAAATGGACCTTCCGCCAATTCTGTGCTTAGCTTGTGAAACACATATCTCTTCAAGCGTTCTCCACCAATGATTGTAGCTGAAAGTTAAGAGAATAATAATATCATTGTAAACAAAAATACATGATCAGCAAAAGAGTATAGACATACTTAAAATACTAATAGACTTATTACAAATTTCATAGTTTGAATCTTCCTCTGAAGACTAATTTAGTTTTGGTTTGAAAGAATGTCGGAGAAAGGAAATGGGAAGGAGTTTATAACTTGCCTGCTTGGCATAGAAACCAAAAGAAATTGGACAAACTCAAGTGACATTTAACAGATTATTTTCCTCTAGATAGCTGAAATATCTCACCGTCTAATTTTTCTTTCTTCTTTTACTTCTCAGATACCTTTTCTCTCAATCACGTTCCGGGCAACCAAACCAAAACCTTGAGCAGCAGGATGCCAATTCTCTTCTTAAGTAGAACCATACTTTCTCTTGTCTGTAATGTGCACAACGACAATGAAGTACATGTTCCATATAACCAAAACCACACCTTTAACATAGTTCGAATCTATTTTCAATTAAACCCAATACTTTTTGGCTTATTCAAAATAAGGTGCACGTTCAAGCTATAGAAAGTAAAGTGCGCTTCCATTTGACAGATCTCAATTCATATGAGCAACCACCAACCTGTTTGATGATTAGATCTAGAGAAAGCAAATTGTAGCTAGATATTGAACTAAGCAATCGCGTCAATAAACCAAGCAACAAAGAACAACTCTCTGTTCTCCTACTAACCTATCAAGTTGCCAATCAGTAACTACTCCCATCCAACAGAGCGCATCAATCAAAATTCAAAAGACAAACCAGTTACAAACAAAAAGCTCAAATCTTTCAGTAGAATTCGAGCATAGCCCCAGCAAAACCCTAGAATATTTTAATACTTGCCGCTCAGTAAACTGTACTGAGTCAAACGTCCCAATTCATATAAGTAAAGACAAGCAAATTGCAGCTAGAACTTGAACTAAACAAGAACCAAAATCATAAACAACAAATCTTTACCCTGCTATTAACCTATCAACCAAATTCACCGTATCAAATGAAAAACATCTAGTATTTGGATCGACAACAACCCTAATCCAGCCAAATTCGACCAAAACCCTAGAAAAGCCTTCGGGGTCGGGAGAGGACCTGGAAAGTACTTTCCGACGATGCGGAGCACGCGGTTGCCGTGCTTGTCGGAGCCTTGGACGCGGAGGAACAGGAGGAGTTCTAGGTCGGAGAAGTCCTCGTCTTGGCAGTCGAACCACTGCTCGTCGCCGTCGCCGGCCACCCTGCGGTCTGAGGGGGAGAGGAGAGAGCGGCGGAGGCGAGGACGAGAACGGAGAAGCCCTCGCTCTGATCCGTCTCCATCGCTGACGTCGGAGCTGCTGACGATGACTGGGGACGATTTTGCTTCGCCTCCTTTTCTTTCTTATCTCAGAGCAGGCGCGATGCACGTGCGAGTACTGTGTAGGTACGTTGCGTCTCCGGGGGCAGTTTGGTCTACGGGCAAAATGGAAGACAGCAAAATGTTGAATATATGATTAAATAGTGAATGTGCTGGGTAAAATAAAAGAGTTTTGCCACGGGGGCCCAAAATATAAGATCAATAAAAGGATAAGTAAGATGCCCCCCTCCTATTGGATAAATAAGAGGGGAATACCTCATTGTCCTCCTTATTGATCTCATATTTTGGGTCCTTAAAGAATTTTTCAAAATAAAAATCCAAGTTTGAGCACGGGTGGAGCTTACAATAAGTTGCTAAAATAAGCAGCTTTTTAGCGACGCAAATTTATTAAGTTACTGTAAATAGTTCTTTGTAACTAAATGTCGTAGAGAAATACTGGCGGCAGTCGTCCCAAGCGATTGCCCAAGCCCACTCGCACTTCTATACGGCCGCTGAGCCCACTTTTCTCATTGGATCGGTGGCAAAGCA